GCCAGTTTCAAAGTTAGTTTTTATGGTGAGCTGAAATTAAGAATGAAGAAAGTGTTCTTGTTGCCAGTTTCAAAGTTAGTTTTTATGGTGAGCTGAAATTAAGAATGAAGAAAGTGTTCTTGTTGCCAGTTTCAAAGTTAGTTTTTATGGTGAGCTGAAATTAAGAATGAAGTAGAAAGTGTTTTTGCTGGTTTGACTAAAGTTTGTTAAATAAAATACGTAGTTAGTGAGTGTTGTGTGACTTGCAGCCTTATTTATTAGGTTTTCACTAAATAATTTAATAACATTGTAGTTCTACTTGTTACAATAAACGTAAACTTGCAATGAAAAACAAAACGCAAAAATTAAGTAACTCTGTTCAACTGGATCACGTGTTGAATGTGTCTTCTCCCTCCAGTCGAGACAATTTCCGGAAAGGATAATTAATCTTTAAAACAAACTTTACTCGAGTCTTACAATCTGTAGAAGAGCACACGTCATCAGAGTCATAAGATCTGGTTGTGATGAAATTCACGTTCATAGACAGTCGTATAATTCTGTTCGCCAAACTCCAGAAGATCATCCAATTATTGTACGTACAGTTTACTGCAGTTACATTTTTTTTTATACTTTTAAGTTATCCTTACGTTAAAAGGTGGTTAGCAATCAATAATCTGTAGTTGTGAAGTATAGAAACTTAGGAAACAAGATAAATATTCAATTTTGTTTAACCTCCTGTATTACTGTTAACCTAACTAAACCGGTTGAGAAAAAAAATCCCTCCAACGACACTAATCATACATGAAAAAGCACTTTAAGTGGGATGCATATCACTGGGAAAAAGAGATATATTGAAATGTTAAATATGTCAGCAAGAATCTTATATGTGAACAGTGAAATGTAAGACAAACAACTATATAAAGCACCGGATAACAAAGCTCGTATTATGTAAGAAACGTTGAAATATAAAGCATATCAATTTATCGAATAACAACGTTAAAATGTTAAAACACGATTTAGACAACAACGATAACTTGAATCCGACAATCAGGGCGGCATTAAGGTATAGAGCCGCCCTAGATAGATATTTTTTGCCACCCCTACCTCCACGTAATCTCTCCAGAAATGAAGTCTTTGTATTAATTATGTAATTAATCACGTGATCCGTCACATGATCGCTCAGTGCTCTTGATTGGTATCTCGATCTGGTGCTGATGGGTTGCGGCGCATTACGAAATGAAATAAAAGCATAATTCATCAACTTTTTGTTGCCTATTTAGTTCGACGTTTTTTAACTTTGCCGCCCTAGGCAGCTACCTACTCTATCTATGCGGCCCTGCTGACAACTCTACTGAAATACAACATGTGAAACAGTTAGTTCATAGCAGCCAACTCCATAATCATACCACACACACACAAAAAGGACCAGATATTTAGGGTTTGTTAAAGGCAAATAAAATACTTAATTTTTATGGATTGTTTTCGGAGATTTCTCATTATAAATATTACCCTAATGGAAACCTTTTTAATGGATCTACCAATTCTAGGTTCTGAATTTTAAGCAAGGAGTCACTGACACGAAGAAACGCTCCAAACTAAAGTCCAATGAAATGAAATAGTTAATAATATTACACATATGTTATTAAAATTTCTGGCTTGTGCGATAATTCCAAACAAACTTTGCTCTGTGTGCCACAACATGCGATAGTTTTTGCTTTGCGCATCTCGAGTTGACCACAACTGTTTTAATGAGGCAATTAAAAAACTATTAACGCTAATGAGTGTCTTAGCTCTATATACTTTTTTTTAAACTTCTACATTTAATTAGGTTTAATTGAAATATGAAAAGGAATAATTAAAAATTGTGGTTCACTGATTTTATTATTTCAAAACTACAGACTTACAGGAAAATAACCGATAGGAGTCATTGATTGTTTGTTTGTTTGTTTTGAATTTCGCGCAAAGCTACACGAGGTCTATCTGCACTAGCCGTCCCTAATTTAGCAGTGGAAGACTACAGGGAAGGCAGCTAGTCATCACCAATTACCAACTTTTGGGCTACTCTTTTACCAACGAATAGTGGGATTGACCGTCACATTATAACGCCCGCCACGGCTGAAAGGACGAACATGTTTGGTGGGACAGGGATTCGAACCCACGACCCTCAAATTGCGAGTCGAGCGCCCTAACTACCTGGCCATGCCGGGCCTAGGAGTCATTGAAAGAATTACAGGAAAATAACCGATAGGAGTCATTGAAGGAATAATAATTTCTAGATTTATTAAGATACAACGCTTACGAAAAACTAATATGAATGAAATGAAGAAAATATAGTGTGTATATATATATATATGTGCTCATGAAATACTTTAATATATCCAACAGAAAACACTATAAAACTTATGTCCTCCAAAAAGCTTGTAAAAACTGGATTTCTTATTTCAGGATAAGTGGTTTTTCATGAAGTTAGTAGATTCGTTGTTCCGGATACACAGATTTTCGGCTGATTTAAACTGGAGTTTCCCACACCTGTGCGAAATAACAGAAACAGTATTTAAATTACAGCCAGGAATACGTTTTCAATTATACAAGTTTTGTTTATCCTGATGGAGAACATAGGAATTAAAAAGAAAGTATTTTATTTACACCCCCGTAGAAACTCATATAAAGGTCTAATGAGTTTGGTACAGACTTAACGTCACAAAGTTGGACACGCTAAATGTATTCTATAACTTATCTTACTTAATATCAGTCGATGTATCATCGGTACGTTTGCAGACCTAAAACGATAAAGTTCGGGTTTTGATTCCGGGTTTCAATAACCCATTGTGTAGTCTTGCGTAAAATCCATAACACGTTACTTAAGTTAAAAAAAGTAAACATACTCACACTATTGGGATTATTTTTTGAAGGTCAGTGGCGAGGGGGTGGATTGAGGAGACGGTTCAGGTAATTTTGGAGGATTATTAACTTTTGGAGCTTGCGTAGGTTTAGAGCCAGAACTAGGTAGTGGTTTCCTGTCCTTCCTGTTTACTGGAGCTACTTCTCTGGTTGGGTCGACTTTAATGTTAAATGGGTTTTTGGAAGACATGTTTTCTATTAGCACACCTTGTCCTACGAAACAAAGATACTTAGTAGTTTAAGACTCTTTATGTACTCTTGTAATAATCTTCAGAAGCAATAGTTTATAATAACTGAGTATATGTAATTTGTTGGTATGTTTTATTTATAAATATATTCATAGATGGCGCCAACGCTATTTACTAATTTGTTTATTTTTTAATTTCGCGCAAAGCTGCACGAGGGCTATCTGAGATAGCCGTCCCTAATTTAGCAGCGTGAAGGCAGCTAGTCATCACCGCCAACTCTTGGACTACTTCTTTACCAACAAATAGTGGGATTGCCCGTCATTATAACGCCCCCACGGCTGAAAGGGCGAGCATGTTTGGTGGGACGGAGATTCGAACCCGCGCTATTTACTTAGTAACTGGGCAACATACATTAAATTAACATGATATATTTAAAATAAAAGTTTGAATTAAAGCAGTGCATCAGAAGTCTTTGAATTAAATAACTAAATTGTTGTAAAACAAACGATTGTTAGTGTTTTATACAAAGAAAAAAGAGCATATTTATAGTAATTTTGATTAGTTTTAGAATGTTTATAATACAGTTTCTGTATTTGATTTTTATTTTGGGAAACAAAACAAACATTCTTAATATCATTGAAAAGGAGTCTCGTGTTGTATAATAACACAAATATTAAATTATTGGTAGTAAACTATATACAGAGTAACGAGAGGCGAAGCACTTGGCAATTAAGTCAGTGTGTTATTGGTTAAAACAGTACAGTAAATTTGTGATATTACCGTTGGGTTTTATGTTTGAATAACACATGTTGAATGTGGATATGTGAATCATTCTTTTCTTATCTCTCGGTCAAAAGTCGTTATATAATGATGAGAACTGCAGCAGTGAAATGTTTCAAAATTTTTTGTATGGGTGAGCATAGTGAACAACCAAGCTTCTTGCCGGTTACCATCGTAATAAAGTATTGTCAGGTTCACCGATTTGCGTTTAGGGTTGTAACAACAACCAATAGGAGGTGTAGTCAGGATAGGTATCACGGAGTTAAACTGAAATTTTTACTTGACTGAGTTAAAGAAAGAGACTGAATACAATGTTAAACAAAGTAAAAATTAATCATTATCTTATCAAACGAAACAATAAGTGAACTGACGAGTGAACAGAACGCTGTAGTGCGCTTCTATTTAATAGAAATACAAGTTTGAATTCAGTCTGTTCTTTGAGCTATTTATTCAAGACCGAAAGAATATATAAAAAAATAATACCGTCAAATTCTAAGAGCGCAGACGCTAACACGTCTTTGGTTGTTTCATTTAAAAGTGGGGAGAATTTAACGTTCATGTATTTCTAAACACAAATATTGCGATGCTACTAGACAGAGAAAGTACGTGAATTAGTACTGTAGTCACAACGGCAGCGAGAAATATTGTAGGGAAAAAAGTCACAATTTGAAAATTTATGCTTAGAATTTTTTAAGTTCATAGAAGTTAAATTATTGAATTATCCCACTCATACATATAATGATTGATCTCATACGTGTCTGAAAAGTACACGTAACACTCTGCATTATATACAAATACTTGTCAAGTTAACACAGTTTGTATCATTAAATATACATTTAATGTTATGTAAGTTAGGTTATCAATGTGTGTATGTCATGTACTTTTTATATAATCTTACATATCATGCATCATGCTATTATTGCAATAATTAATTAATTTAAAAATGTTTTTGTTGTATTACTTTACATTGTGTTTGTGTATTTAAAAAGTTGTGACTTTTTTTTCATAGCCAAAACTGTGACAATTTTCCTGCGAGAAAAACAAAAAGTACCCGAATGTGGCACACGCCCCTACTGAACAAGATCAACAGTGCACAAGGCTGATTGTTTCCGCCTGTTGCGTATATTAACAACAACAACAAAGATAAATCGGTTAATTAAATAACTTATCTTACTAAACTAAGAAACCAAATATGGCATTCTACCAAATACTACATTAATCTATACCCAAAATAAAAAAATCGGTATCTTTACCTTAACTTGTAGATTAGTTCCAAGATTCCAGTGAATCATGCAAAACAGTTGTCGTTGCAAGAAACGAGACGAAACCTTTGAGACTAATAATGGCCCAAGGGGGAGTAGATGCAGTTACATTCCGGGGCGGTAGTGGAACAGGATATACTAACAGCCGAGTTACTTCCAATCCTAGCAAAGCTTTATGTTCTTGTTATTTTGAAGAAGCAACCACGGATATTCTCCGAGCAACATGTCTTATCCGTTTTGTTTTCCGATGATGGCCATGAGTTGCGATTAAGCAGTTCTGTGATCAATAATCACTAATAACATTAGATTTATGATTCAGCTATTCTGTGTTTAGGAATCTCTTAAAATATTTCTTACAAAGCTAGGACGAAAAACGAGATAGTATTCCGAGATTTCTGATAACAACAGTAGCATTAGTAAACCACGTTCCACTAAAAATAGCTTGGTTTCAATTTCGCGCAAAAATACACGAGGGTTATTTGCGCTAACCGTCCCTAATTTAATAAGTGATACACTAAAGGGAAAGCAGCTAGTCAACGCGGCGAGCGTGTTTGGTGTGACATGGTAGTAGCACGTGATATTCTTGTGGTACAATTACACTGGTACCTACGTTAAAGTGAGTTTTGTCACCTATGATACCATGACTCCTGAAACATGCGTTGAAATTTCTTATTGGGCTAAGCTATTTTTGTTCAATCTCGAATGTGATTGTGTGTAAGAATATGATGTGCGAAGTCTGAGACGTCGATCCGACAGAATATAATTTTGACGTTCTCTAATGCGTGTATTTATTGTTCAGCCCGTTTCACAGAGATATTTCACAAGGAATTCTTTATACACTATTAATTCAGTTTTGAGGTTGGATGGGCTTTATTAGATGGACTTAAGATATGGCTTAAAATTATGCGCAGTCTGTAAGTGATTCTAACATTAATTGTATTTAAGTGTCTTTTAATCTTGTCAGATTATTCTTTAATGCAGTTGTAGTAGATTTTAAAATACAATCTTTTTTATTGTTTTAGTTTTTTTACAACAACATATGCGTTATTTCATTCGGATCCCGGGGGGGAGGCGGTGATCCGGTAGAGGGTTATGCCCTCTCGTCGGCCATGCGGTCAGGATTGTCAGCTGGGAAAGACATAACATAGAGGTTCAGTAGGTGATCAGCTGGTGCCAAAATGCTTTTTGAAGTGTGTACAGTGGTGGCGAGAACATCGGAGAAGATGAGATTGTGGTCACGAAAACATTTATTTACATAGCGAGTGCGAAGCTTTCGAAGGTGTAACAAAATATGACGAAAGTTGATATGGCGATAGAGTTCGGAAGTGGGACTTGGGGGTTTGACACCAAAAGTAACACAGAGGGCATGGCGCTTCAAAATCTGGAGACGAGAGCAGAAGGCCAGAGAAGCTGATATCCAAGCTGTATGTCCATAGATCAAATAGAGTCTGATGAATGTATTGTATGTGTATTGCAGAAGTGGAGGGTTCAGGTTCCAGAAGGTACCAGTGAGAGAACGGAGGAGATGAAGACGACGAGAAACCTTAGCAGAAAGGGCAGATAAATGTGGCTTCCAAGTAAGACAATGCCAAGATAGGTCACGTAGTCGGAAAGGGGGATAGGGACATTGTCGACTTGGACATCAAACAGAGACCGGTCGTGGGAAGGGCTAAACTTACGATGTGATGGACCAGAAAGAATAGCTCGTGTCTTAGGGACATTGAGGGATAGACGCCAGCAGCGACATCAATACATCAAAAAGTTCATTTACAACAGCCTGGAGTAGCTTGTTCAGTGTGGACATCGTGGAACAATGGGCTACCAAAGCTGTGTCATCAGCATATTGAAATAACTGAAGAGGAGGCTGGGGACAAGGCATATCAGCAACATAGTGAATGTACAGAAGGGGAGACAACACAGAACGTTGTGGGACTCCAGCAGATAGTGTGAAAGAGAAACCCATCAATCGAAATCGCGGCACGCCGCCTGTGTAGAAAAGAGGAGATGAGACGAATATAGGGAATAGGAAAGGGTAATACATATGCAGTTTGTGGCATAAACCTTGATGCCCAACTGAGTCAAAAGCACGCCGGAAATCAAACAGGAGCATGCAGGAGGGTCTTCGAGTGTTGAAATGATTAGAAAGTGAGTCAGACAATTTGAGAAGTTGATCCAAGGTAGACAGGTATGTTTGAAATCCCACCTATGTATGTGGCAGCAGATTGTGAGCAGCAATGAATTGATGAAGACGGGCAACAAGGATGCATTCAAAGCTTTTTCTGAAAACACTAGTCAGGCTGATAGGATGATAAGAATTAACTTCAGAGGCAGGTTTACACGGTTTCAGAGGAAGCAGAATAGTGGATAACTTCCAGGAACCAGGAAAAAATCCTGAGGAAAGAAGAAAGGTGTAGAACAATGCAAGAAGTTGAAGGAATTGCATAGGAGCATGACGGAGTTGGCAGTAAGTGATGCCATCAGGACCAGGGGCAGAGTTACGTCTGTTCTTCAGCACCCGCCGGACATCAGCTGCAGTAATGGGAGCATGTAAGAAATCATTGTCAACAACATGGGAAGAACTTGGAGTAAGGTCAACGATGGAGGCAATGGTTGAGTTCACGATGGTTGTAGTGTCACTGCAGTCAAGAATATGACATTCCGGTACCTGAAAGTTCTGTTCATGAAAAGTAGCAAAATGGTTGGCCTTGTCCAAAGATGTAGAAGGTGCAGCACCATCAACAAGAATAGAATAGGAGAGAGAGCATCGTTGACCGTGAGGAGCTTAAAACGGTTCCAGAATTGCAAGGAAGAAGAGGAATGACTGAGTTTGTTACAGGCCTGATGTCACTGCTGATGTCGGACTGTCCGAACAAAATTATGGGCAGCATGTTGAAGACCCCAGGATCGTTGCAGCAACAAAAGATCCTGAGACCGACGGTATTCACGCAAGAAAGTGGGAGAGTGGTGTAACAGATATACAGCACTTCGGGGTAAGGCTGGTTTATGGAGAGCTGAAGAAGAAGTCAGTATGTGTAAAGTGCTGGCATCAAAGAGAAGAGTGGTGAAAAAGGTGGCGAATGAGTCAACATCTACTGACGTAGTAAGAGGTCGAACCATATCTGGTATGGCACTAACAATGTGTGAAGCATAAGATTTCCAATCGGCAGAACGAAAATTGAAGTGAATCCGACGGGAAGCACGAGGAGTGAATAATGTCTGTGAATGGACAAAAAGTTCTATGGGGAGATGATCACTACCAACCGGAGGACACATGTGGAGAGTGATAAGAGGAACCAGTTTGGAAGAAACAAAGACAATATCAGGTGATGAATGAGAATTCGGATGACTAGGGGCCGTCAGGGGTAGCAAAGAACCAGAGAGGGTGCATAAGGAGGACTGAAAATGGGCAAGTTCGGCAGAAGTCCTACTGTGGTAATTCACATCAGCAAGAAGAATATAGCTGCAAAACGATTTGTCCAGAAAGGAAAGAAAGGCGCTGGGCAAAGGAACTCCGGAACGAATGTAGATTGTTGCATTAGTGATGATTGTAGATGGGAAGTAAACAGTGACTATCAAATGCTCATGGTAAGTGGACTGTGAAAGGCACACGAGAAGGCGAGTACGAGTAGCAACTGCCACACCTACTCGGGCCAGACCCATAGGATGATCATATCGATGAAAAGTGTACCCTGACAAAGGGATCTTTTGACTGGGCTTCAGAAAAGATTCGTTAAGGAGGACACAATCATAGGAACCTCTATCCAACAAGATATCCAGAAGGGGGAGGTTATGAAGAAGATGTAATCTCTGCTGGATTCCATAGACGGCGAAATAGAAAGTGTGAGTTAAGTCCAGAATAAGTGGTCTGCATGTGAAGGCGAAAGACGGTCTTGACAGCATGGATAATATTATCTAGAACGAATGTACGTTGGAAGAGGAGGACATTCTGTAGTATCAATGTGACAAAACGGATGATATCCTCCGTGATAGGAGACATAGCAACAGAGTTGGCTGGAGGAGTAATGGCATCGGTGGTACAGAAACAGGATCGTCAACCTTGGGGGTAGGCTTACCCTGGCACTTAAAGGAGTTTGTTAGATGATCAAGATGGCAAGTGTTGCAGAGGGGAGGAGAGCTTAAGTGAGAGCAATGACGAAGGAGATGAGGTTTACAATATACAGAGGTAGTTGAAATTCCATTTTCTTGTTGTTAGAAATAACACATCTTAGAAACAACTTGTGGGGATGATGGAGTCCACCACTGGTGTCTCTCGTCCTTTGACTTTCTTTCACAAGGGGTTCCTGATGTTTAACCTCACGGAGAAGGATTTATATGGGTGCATGCCAATGGTCTTAAGTTGACGGCTACAGAGGGATGGTTTCTAGAGGCCTTTCCAACAACGGCGAAAGTCCTAAGTCCAGGAGAATGCTTCTCCCCAGATATGACCATCCTGTTTAACTGTTACCCTGCCTCACTCAGGTCACACGTCAATTTGCATGTAAGGAATACCATCCTTACGCATTCTCAGATTCGTGCATTCACTGGATTGAACAAATCTCCACAACAAAGGAGCCTCCCAGTGGCACAGCGGTAAGTTTGCGGACTTACAACGCTAGAAACCGGGTTTCGATACCCGTGGTGGGCAGAGCACAGATAGCCCTTGTGTAGCTTTGTGCATAATTAAAACAAACAAACACAACAAAGGAAAAAATTTTAGGCCTGCTAAAAACTAGAGTTGCGAGAGTTGAGTCACAAAGAAAGAGACAAGACACAGGTAACAAGTACAAATGTTTACTGACAATTTTATAGTTTTAAATATAAAGAACAATGCATTAAAATACAATAAATAGCTATACAGTTCACAGCAGAACAAATGCTCTTGTGTTTGTGTGTAAAATAAAAAAAAAGATAGTCAAGCGATTTCTTGCTACTGTGGGTTCTTCCCCCTGTTAATATAGAATATAAAGAGAAATACTAATAGAGAGTGTCCCCAAGTTAAAATGTAAAACCATAAAGTTAACCCTCGCTTAGCCTCTGTAAAATACTCGTTCCTACTTTAAACATAAACCTATGCTCCATCATCTCGTAAATCAATCTCTAAAAAGTTTGCTCACAGCGAATGTAAACAACTTGGCACCGGCAAAAAGCAGGTAACGCATCGCACACATGAAAAGGAAAATTAACTCTAGTGTCGCGAGAGAAGTCGAGAATTTCTCGGAGAGTAAAACACACAAAAAAATACCCTAATTTGTTAACAGAAACCAAAAGCCGCGTAAACGTTAAACCTATGGAAACTGTAAAAATACTGCTTTAGTCCTATGTCAGAAACTCTTGTTATTCTAGGTTTTTTGTTTGTTTGTTTATGGATTTCGCGCAAAGCTACACGAGGGCTATCTGCGCTAGCCGTCTCTAATGTAGCAGTGTAAGACTAGAGGGAAGGCAGCTAGTCATCACCACCCACCGCCAACTCTTGGGCTACTCTTTCACTAACGAATAGTGGGATTGACCGTCACATTATAACGCCCCCACGGCTGAAAGGGCGAGCATGTTTGGTGTGATGGGGATTCGAACCCGCAGATTGCGAGTCGAGTGCCCTAACCACCTGGCCATGCCGGGCTGTTATTCTAGGCAAATAATATGTGGAATCTTGTAAAATATTTGTAATTCTATGTAAAGCCCAAATAAATCTTATGTCAAAATCATGTAATTTATCAGTCTGAAAAATCTGTGTAAATCCTGTCCTCCCAAGGCCAAACTATGTCTTAAATATTTCAATAACTTCTAAGTTCCTGAAAAGGAAAACGGTGATTTGTGCCTGTGAGATCAACTGCTCAACAGGCGGTAAGGATCAAGAGCGATCTCACTTCGCAACTGTCATCCGGTTCGCTAAGAACAATAACTCACATCACTAATTAAAGACAACATTTAATAGAACCGGATAAGCAGTTTTGTCTTTGTGTAGAATTCGTTAACCAATAAGGAAAGTTAAAGTTAGTAACTGACTTAAAACACCTCTATGTTCAAACACAGAACTATGAAAAAACCACTTAATTTTGAAAAATTTACTTCCTATCTGATGGGGTGGAAAACAAATAGTACATCCCTGTATTACATAATGAGAAGGGAAGGTTTAGCACGTTAATTAAGAGCGTGTTTGACTAAACGTTGTCATTGTGAACGCCTGTATTATGTTGTAAGTTAGTAGAATAGCAAAGTAATGAACGAATGTTCTTATTGCCAGTTTAAGAGTTAGTCTTATAATGAGCTTAAGGATAAAGTAGAAATTGTTTTTGCTACCAGTTTAAAAGTTAGTCTTATAATGAGCTTAAGGATGAAGTAGAAAGTGTTCTTGCTGCCAGTTTAAAAGTTAGTCTTATAATGAGCTTAAGGATGAAGTAGAAAGTGTTCTTGCTACCAGTTTAAAAGTTAGTCTTATAATGAGCTTAAGGATGAAGTAGAAAGTGTTCTTGCTGCCAGTTTAAAAGTTAGTCTTATAATGAGCTTAAGGATGAAGTAGAAAGTGTTTTTGCTGCCAGTTTAAAAGCTAGTCTTATAACGAGCTTA